AAGCGGGAACCGTCCCGGCTCCGCTTCGCTCGCGCCTTCCCGCATCCTCGCCCCGCTCCTTCCTCGGCAGCCGAAAGGACCCTCGAGGCGGGCGTGCGGAAGACACCCGCTCTCCCTCCTCGACTTACCCAGCAGGGAAAGGGCTTTCTGGCTGTCCCAGCGCCTCCAGGCCGCGGCCGCTCCGCACCGCCGGTGGAGCCAAGCGCAGCTGCAGCCCGGCTCAGCCCCCCGCGCAGGGCTGGAATTCCGGGGAGCGGAGGGCTCAGAAAACCTAGCCGACACCGGCTCTCCGCCCGTCAGGACCCGGGGAAGGCTCGGCTGGGTTCGGCAGGCGGCCCCGTTCCTACTGCTGTTTTTTGTTTGGTTTTGACTTCTTTTCTCCTGTGCTGCCTCGGCCCCGTGTTGTGCTTTTTGCAGAGGAGCGGTTGCCGGAGCCAGGGGAGCACGACATTTTTGCAGTCATAACTGATAAGTCTCCGAAATGCTTTCTCCATTGCAAACATGTGCATCTTAATGGAAACCATGGCCTCGCTCGCTCCGTCACAACAAGCGCCAGCAGCGCGGAGCCCGGCAGGGCTGGGCGGCGGGGCCGCCAGGGCGCCCCGCGGGCGGCGTGGGGAGGGCGCCGGGGGGCTCCTGCCTTACCTTAAGAAATCGAGCCAGCCATCATGAATGATGGAGGGGTCCAGCTGCAGGGAGAGGAAATTCTCACTGATTATCCTGACAGGGCTCTTGGTGTTGACATCAAGGAGAATGAGAGTTCTTCCTTTCACACCTGAAGGTTTCTCCACCGGCAGTGCTCTCCTGTCCCCAGCCTGGGAGGGCAGCGAGAAGGCGGCCATGAGGGCCAGCCCAGGTGCCATCAGGGCTAAGAGCCCTGGGGGGCAGGAGCTGGGACAGGGCATGCCTGAGAGCAGGAAACCCCTAATTAACTTGCTGTCTGCAGGGGCTCGCTGGTGGCTAATTGTCCTTATCTAAAGTGTGGGGCGCTCTGCCTTTTTTTGCAATGTTTTGGTGTTGGTGGAG